ATAGCTTCACCATCACCTAAGAGTAAAACCAAGTTCATTGGCATTGCATATGAGCTCCTCCAAGATCTGGTCCATGTCTATGTCTCCAAAGCTTGGACTCTGGGGTAAGACAGACCTTGTCTTTGTCTCAGATCTCCCATGTACTAACTCTATGACTTTGAGCAACTACTTAGTTTTCTCATCTGAAAAGTGGGTCAACCACTGGGGTTATTGGGAAGATTGAATGGGCTGATGCAAATAAAACATTAGCATTGTGCTTGGCAAACAGTAAGCACCAAATAAATGTTAAATTATTGTAGTGATCAAAGAAGAACCAAATAAATGGAGAGCGAGTCCATGTTCATGGATAGAAAGACTCAATATTGTCAAGATCTCTTCTTTCCAAATTGATCTATGGATTCAATGCACTCCCTATCAAAATCCCAGAAAGTTATTTTCTTGATGCTAAAGAATCTCAACAAACTGATTCTAGAGTTTCAATGGATAGGCAAAAGACCCAGAATAGCCAACACAATATTGAAGAAGAACAAAGCTGGAGGACCAACACTACCCAACTTCAACACTTACTATGAAGCTACAGTAATCAAGACAATGTGGTATTGGTGAAAGAATAGACAAATAGGTCAATGAAACAGAATAGAGAGCCCAGAAATTGACCCAAATAAATATAATCAACTGATCTTTGACAGAGGTGCAAAGGCAGTACAGTGGAACAATGGTAGTCTTTTCAACAAATGGTGCTGGAACAACTGGACATCTATATGCAAAGAAAATAAAACTACATGTGGACCTTATACTCTTCACAAAAATTAACTCAAAATGGATCACAGTCCTGAATGTAAAATACAAAACTTTAAAACTCCTAGAAGATAACATAGGAGAAAATCTAGATGACCTTAGCTTTGGCAATGACTTTTTAGATAGGACACCAAAGGCATGATCCGTGAAAGAAAGACTGATAAGCTCTGCAAAAGACACTGTCAAGAGAATGAAAAGACAAGCCACAGACTGGTAGAAAATATTTGCAAAAGACAATCTGATAAAGGACTCATCCAAAATATACAAAGAACTCTTAAAACTTCACAATAAGTAAAGAAACAGCCCAATTAAAAAATGGGCCAAAGACTTTAACAGACACCTCACCTTAATAGATGGCAAGTAAGCATATGAAAAGATACTCCAAATCAGAGAAATGTAAATTAAAATAACAATAAGACACCACTATACACCTATTAGAATGGCCAAAATCTGGAACGCTGACAGCACCAAGTGCTGGTGAGTGAATAAGAACTCTCATTCATCGCTAGTGGGAATGCTAAATGATACAGTCACTTTGGAAAATAATTTGGCAGTTTCTTACCAGACTGAACATACTTTACCATACGACCTAGCAATCATGCTTCCTCGTATTTACCCAAAGGATTGAAAACTTATGTCTACACAAAAACCTGCACATGGATGTTTATAGCAGCTTTATTCATAATTGCCAAAACTTGAAAGCCACCAAGATGTTCTTCAGTAGGTGAATGGATAAATAAACTGTGGTACATCCAGACGATAGAATATTATTCAGTGCTGAAAAGAAATGAGCTATCAAGCCATGAAGACATGGAAGAAACTTAAATGCATATTACTAGTCGAAAGAAGCCAATATAAAAGGCTACATACTGTAAGATCCCAACTATATGAGATTCTGGAAAAGTCAAAACTATGGAGACAGTAAAATGGTCAGTAGTTGCCAGAGGTTAGGGGAGAGGGAGGGGTGAAGAGGTGGAGCACAGAGGATTCCTAGGGCAGCAAAAATACTCTGTATTGTACTGCAGTAGTGGTTACATGTCATTGTGCATTTGTCCAAACCTGTAGAATGTGCAGCATCAAGAGTGAACCCTAATGCAAACTCCGGACTTTGGGTGATTATGATGTGTCAGTGTAGGCTCACAAATTGTAACAAATGTACCACTGTGGTGAAGGATGTTGGTAATGGGGAGGCTATGCCTGTGTGGGGGCAGGGAGTATATGGGAAATCTCTGTGCCTTCCTCTTAATTTTGCTGTGAACCTAAAACTGCTCTGAAAAATAAAGTCTATTAAAAAAAGTTGCAGTAGGGGCCATAATGGTTGTAGTACCAGGGATGCTGTTGCTACTGTTACTAATATCCTTTTCCTCATAGCCTGTTTCTTCCTTTACCGAAATCTTGACATTCCCTGGAAACACAGTCCTTTTCTTATGCCTCCATGTTGTTTCACTTCTGTTCTCTCTACTTAAAATGCCTTCCCCTGCCACTCCTCCACCCTTCTCCCCTTAAAAAACTCCTCATTCATATTCAAGTTTTAGATGAAGCTTCAACACCCATACAAAGCTGTCTTCAACTCTCCCAGATGGACTTTGGTATCTGTCCCTTCAGACTCCCACTGCCTCCTTCCTCAGACTCACGATTGAGCAGTGACCTCATTGGAGCATAATTGTTTGCAGGCCTGTCTCCTCTGTATTCATAGCACTGGAGAAATCTAGCTCTTTTCATTGCTGTGAATATAGTGCCCAGCATGGCATTCAGATACAGCAGGCACTCAGTAATCACTAATTCAATGGTTGCATTAAAGATGCCTTACTAGTAATAGAAAAGCACATCAATACATACACAGGTGAAGAAGAACAGAATAACTGTGGATGTGACAGCATGCCTGCCATCCCTGTGTTCTGCTGCTCCCATGAAGTTTTTGCTAACACCTTCAGGTATCATCTATGCTACTGTTAGTGACATCCTGGCACTGGATCATACCTTGTCCTACATCATTCTTTAATTATTTCGTTTCTGATGAAAGTTCCTTGAGGTTAAGGATCATCCTGCATTTCATAGAACCTAGTGTGCTGGTAGCTCGCCAGAAGAACAACAGGCATATGGCTGCTGCCTCCTGGAGAAAGCAGAATGTTGACTGCCGTCATTAGGCCAGGCCAGTTCTAGACAGAAGTACTGAAAGTATTAACTTGGAGTTTGGTGGCCACAAGAAAAAGGTTAGTTGTAGATGTCTAGAGCCACACTAGGGCACATAAATATACTATTTTTCCAACAACCACAATTAATCATCTTCAGTGTCATTCTGGTATTCACCTTAATTCTTCCTCCATAAAAATAGATAAAACAAAACAAACCTCAGATAGGAGTGACTAAGGACAGTACTTGTACCCTTCACTTCTTCATTTTCTGTGCCTTTTATTTATCCCCTGACAGCATCCTTGCCTCTGGTCTTTGTTAGAAAGGTCAGTGGTTTAAATCAAGGCTTTTTTCCTCATGCAGAGGATTCTCAGGCTCTCTGTAGTTGTCCTAAGTCTGTGTGTGCAATCTTCATCCTTCCCTAGGCAGCTCACTTGGCTGTTGTCCTCTCAGATAACTCCAGCCGCTGCTGTTCCTCATATCGGTAAAATATAAAGGGGTTCTGCGGCACACACTCTGAAGGGCCTCCTGTGATAATTCAACACCAGGAATAGTCTTTCTTACTCTAAAAGAGTATGTATACTTGCTTTGCAACACCTCCCCCAGCAAACCCTCCCTACACAGACCGCCCAAGTCAGGAGGGTGGTTTTATGGAGCTGGGACTTTTGGAAGGAAGAAAATGACTTGCAGGTTGAGTACTACCTAGAAAAAATTCCCCTGCTGACCTGGACACTGTACTTCCAGTGTTTACTGGCAAACTCTCCCTTCCCCCTATTATAAGGGTCCAGGGTTTTTTTTTTTTTTGGTTTTTTGTGTGTGGTTTTTTTTTTTTTTTTTAAGGAAGTTTGGCCCTGAGCTAACAACTGTGCCAATCTTCCTCTATTTTGTATGTGGGACACCATCACAGCATGGTTTGGTGAGCAGTGTGTAGGTCCGAACCCATGAACCCCAGGCCGCCGAAGTGGAGCACATGAACTTAACCACTAGGCCACCGGGCTGGCCCCTAAGGGTCTAGGGTTTTATGTGAGGGCTACCCCATAACACAAGCAAGCACGTGAGTGGTCCACAAAACCACATGTGGACGTGAACAGGAGAGGAATCGATCAGTCCACAAGTACCTTTAAATATCTGTATGTGTTCATCCTGTTTTTGGTTGGTGTGATAGATACAGAATGACTATACATAAAGTCTTTACACTCACGAAACTAACACACTTTACTGAGAACCTACTGGGGCCACTCACTGTCCTTCAGAATCTCAGAGGCTGATGGAAGAGACCAGAAGAGAGATGAACACAGGAGGTACATAAGAAGGGACAAAAAATAATACAGACCAACCCTACACAGAGAATGGTTCATCAGTCCTCGGTGGTCGTGCATAAGGAAGGGAACTACGGGAGGTCTGGGTTGGCGAGGGCTTCCTCGAAGCTGTGCGGGAGAGAGTTGGCTGTCACCAACCCTGTTGGTAAAGAAAGCTTTCATGGAAAAGGGACTTTTAAAAATATGGTCTTTGTCACAGCCAAGAGGAGCCTAAGGAGACATGATGACTGAATGGGATATGGGATCCTGGAACAGAAAAAGACATTAGGTAAAACTCTGAATAAATTATGGGCTTTAGTTAACAACAATGTATCAATAGTGATGCATTCATTGTAAGAAATGGATCACACTAATGTGAGGTGTTAGTAATCGGGAGACTGGGTTCAGGGTATATCGGAACTCTCTGTACTTCTCGATTGTTCTGTAAGTCTAAAACCGTTCTAAAAACTAAAGCCTATTTAAAAAGGAAAAAAAAGCAGTCTTACAGCCTACAGAACATCCCTGGTGTGGTGACAGGAAACAGTCAGTTTGACAAGGACCCTTTTTTGAAAGAAGTGACTTTGTTGTCAAACGCCATGTTTGTGGCTTGACCATCGGTTCCCACAGCGATACTGAGTTCTTGGGCGCTTTTCCATGGCTGATTTTTGGCAGGCGGCGGCAGCGTTGTGCACTGATTGTAATTTTGAGATGCATTGTCAGTAACCAGGGTGTATAATGGCTCTTCATCTCTAATTACTTTTCTCTCCACAGGTGTCTGGAAAGGGTCCAGATGGGAGTGCACACAACCTCCGCTATGAGGGGATGGAGAGACAGTACGCATCCTTACCCAGGTAGGTCACTGAAGGGTCTCCCATCACCAGCTCACCCCAAATAAAGTCTTCAGAGAATCTACATGAAGTAGAACCCTTGTGTTGAAGTAGGATCTATGGTACAATCTGCCCTGCCCTCTGCCACAACCCTATTGCCATCTTCACAACTGTGCTCATAATTGAACACCTGTGGGTTATTTTTTAAGGGAAGAAAACAGTATATCATTGCAATTGAACATGTCAGCAAGAATATTGGATCCTGAATGAAAATCCTAAGCCATTGCTATAAAAATGGTATTGAACACCCTGCACCAAGCTTAGAGACAATAAAATAGCAAATCCTCTGTCCTAGGAGTTAGCTGCAAGGAAGGGCGAGCCAACCTTAACCTTGGAGCTTCCTGTGGGTGTTAAAAGTAGGAGAGAAATGTGAGCCTGGGAAAGTGTTCTTTGCTTGATTTAGAATCTGACCGTGTTCTCTAGGCGATAAGCAAACATTGCCCCACAGACGCGGTGGGGCAAAGAACAGCCACGTGGGAAAAATTGGCTTGGCGATTCTGGCCTAACGTGATCCACTGATGCTGTAACTAGACACCTCTGAAAATGAGACACGGTGCTCTTATCTGTGAGATGAAGAATAATTTGAGTCTGCAATCAGTAGCTCACGACAAAGAGGAAACCTTTCCAAGATTACGTACAGTGAAGCGACTGTGGCGTTAAATGAGTCAAGAGTGTGAGAATTAGTGAGTTTGGAATAAGAAAAAAAAACAACAAAGAATGGTTAATGCCAGCTAGAAAACTGAAATGTTACGGAATGTCTCCTTTTAAAAAGCAGGGGAGGACCCTGCGTAGAGCTGCTTCATCGCAGAAGCTGTGTTGTGCTGACCTGGAGTTGCCGATCTGAGTTGCGTGTTGTCTGTACTTCTGCATGTGAATCTAGAGATAACATCCTGAATATCACAATAGGCATAGCCTCAGTGACGTCTGCGCTTGTAAACAATATGTTGATTTTCAAAAGTAATAGTATCTCAAATCTAGCAGAGAACCAAGTTTTAACACTGACTGGGCAAGATACCCAAAATACAATAATTTAAAAGCATCTACACAACTGTATTTTATTTATCTCCCTGGTTTCTTTTTTTATATGATGTCTCATAGTTTTTTCTCATTCTTGATTTCTTTCCTCTCCTTATTTTTCCCTGGCCTAGTATTTTGTTTTCATTTAAAAAAATGGAAGTAGTCTCCAAAATTTGTTTTAAATATAAAATTGCTCGCTTCCAGTGTTGAAGTGTATGGAAATTGTGGTTAAAGCAGATGGAAAGTAGTATGTTCCTAAGAGAAGGAAGAAAAAAGGAAAACTGGAAACAGTTTCATGTCTTCCTGGCCAACTTGTACTCAGACTGCGGAAATGGATTTTTTTGTGCAAATCATAAGCACAAAAATAACATTGAAAATTCTATAAATTTCAGTCATTCATTCATTTCCTATATATCTATTGATCATCTTCTGTGTAGCAGGCCCTGGCAATGTGGAGACTGGGGAAGCAGTGCCAGCCCATCCTCAGGACCCGCCTGTCTACTACAGAGAAGGGGAAACCACCTTTCTACAACAGGGCAACAAATGCTTAGATTAGCAATTATAACATATAGGCCTCTGGATTTCCGACTCCTGTTTATTTATACTAATAAGCCCTGAAATACTCAATCACAGCTGACTCTAAACAAGTCTATTTTAGGATTAAACACTGCGAAGGGAGTTTTCTGACAAAGGCAGTCCATTCATGTTGTGGCTCTGGAGCCGTCATCACAATATATGAATCGACAAAATCCCACCTGCCCAAAATATAACTGTGGCTGAAAGGGAAGCATCTTAGACTGAGAACAGTTGTGACCAACAGTCCACTCACACACCTAACACAATGGCAGGAGTGATTACTGCTCATGCAAACAGCCCTTTGTAGCTACCTGGCAACCAGAAGCAGCCACGATGGAGGATAAATAGCGCTCGGACAAATGCAGGAGAGCTCCCTGGAGCTGGTTTTTCAATAGGGGAGGCTCAAACCCGAGGTTCCATCTCAGTTTCTAAAGGAGAGATGCAAAGGAAAGAGCACCCTCCCCAGTGTGCTCTGAGCCATGGGGGTTCCGTATTTACCCGCAAGATGCAGAGAGAAGAGCAGGGCACGCTGCTGGCTTCTGGGAAGGCGTGCGGACTCAGCCCGGTGTGCGCGTGACATCACCCTGGTGTTCTAGTCTCCCCGCCCCTGGAGATCTTACTGGCCATTTAATTGAGTCACAACAGCTCCACTGCTAGCCTCCCTCCCTTTGCCAGGAGAGTGAGGCAGGCACATCTCTGTAGGCACCGGCTCCCCATCTTTGTCACAGGGGCAGGGAGCTTTAAAATATTTATGGAGTTAAATTTTTAATTAAAAATAGGAGTAATTCTATCTATAGGATAGGACGTCGGTGGCCAGCCTTACAGGGTCCTTCATATGCTGCTGACTGATTTGGCTCCTCTGTTGTTTGTGGAGAGCATCACAGGGGTTTTTAAGATAAACTCAATAATGTTGATTTATATGCCAAATTTGGAGCCTTTGACACAGAGGGAAAATGCCCCCCAGTGCACGGAGTTGGTGAGGACCCCAGTCAGTTGAGGGGCACCCTGCTCTCCTTTCAGGGCACTCTGTCATCTGTGACGGAGGCCCATGCAGCCTGCTGCCAGGCTAAATGACACTTCATAAAATAAATCCGGGCCCCAGCCCTCCCAGGAAGGAGACAGTTCCTAACACTTGGTGGTCAGGAGGCGGCCTAAGGCTAAGGGCTGAGATGTTAAGTGTTATTGTTAAGCAATGTTAAGTCTTCTGCCTCTGAAGAAAAATGACTTTATTTCTTTTCTCCTGAGGGTGCTGTTTCGGAAGGCAGAGCGCAGCATAATGGTGTGATACAACCTCGTTAGCAAGCACCAGGCTTTTACCCAGGCTGGTGTTTTACCATCCTGTCCAGCCCCCGATTTCTCTTTGGTAGTAAACAGAATGAAATCAGCATTCCCTTATTCTTGCCTGACACAAATTATTGCTCACCCTGCATGAGTAGGGAAGTGGCTGTTTCCTAGGCTGCTGTAACGTGTGAACATCACTGTGTGTATTTTTGCAAACAGCTTCTTGTCACTTCAGCCTCCCAGCCCCTTTCAATTCTCCTGGGCCCCATCCTGATTTTACAAGCCTCCTCACGCTCAGTCCTTCAGCAGTCAACTCTCTCCTTTCCCATCACCAGCCTCCGTCATTCCCACCTGGCCCATCCCTGGCCCCGTGGGATCCCATTATCCCTTCTGTGCAGATGGCTCAGAGCATCGGCACATGCTGTTGCTCTTCTGGGCCTGTAAGTGTTGAGTCCTAAGGAGGGAGCGACAGGCCTCCACATCTCTTCTGTGGCCCCACAGACATGGGCGGCGAAAGGTTGCTGGAGAAACTCATAAAATTGCGTTCGTTGTTCCACCACAAAATTCACATCACCAGCCCCAGCTGGGCCCTGCTGCGGTCCAGAATTCTCTCAGCCGAGCTCTCAACTCCCTTGACTGTCCCACAGTGGCCGTTCCAACCCTCTTCTACTCCCGGTAAGTTCTGGGAGGATGACTAAGCCCCCAACCCAGTCTCCAGAGATGACCTCACTTCCTCTGCTGTACGACCTTGAGACATGCCACATTCCCTCCCCAGCTTCTGCTCCATGCAGCTCAGACTTGTTCTCTGCACCAGCTCACACTTCCCAGGGGGATGCGGGGGGGCGGGACCTGGAGTCAGGCCGCAATTACGGCCCCTTCGGTCACTTATCACCCGTGAGACCATGGACAAGGCGTCTAACTGTTCCGGGCTCAGCTCTTTAATCTGCAAATTGGGGATGATATTAGGGTCTCTGCATAGTGCTGGTGTGAGTATTAAATATAATACGAGCAAAACCATTAGTGAATAGACTGCCTGACATATTTTGAGGGTTTTTTATATTGTTAGCTCTTTTTAATTTTATCTCAGGGGAAGACGTGTTCCTTTCTTTAATGAGTCAAACCCATACACAGAGCTCCTTCTCACTGGCTTCTCGGGGACCCTGCACCATCGACTAGCCCTCTCTCAGCGGCATCTTAAACACCTCGGCAGTTGCTCCCCCACCCCATCCCCACCCCCCCTCTACTGTAAATGCATCGGCTCAGCCACACAGTTCACTGCGAATCCCACAGCGTGGAGAAGGGGAGAGCCAACAGCTGCATGGAGATAGGCCGGGGATATAACCGAGGCTGAAGGATTAGCGAACTCTGGGGAAGGACCAGTCGTCCAGACGGTCAAGGGAGAGAAGACAGAGCGAACTAAGATGATCTGAGTGATAAGCTGTGCTGTGGGCATGCTGGGCGGCAGCAACCCTCATGGATGGGGAGTTCAGATAAGGGATACAGGATGCTGACTCGGCTCTAGGACAGAGGCCATGGCCCCCACCCACGAGACTTAGGTTCAGGCCTAGGCTCCCCACCATGGTGGAGAACACACCCAATGTGAGTTCACCAGGACCGCTGAGCATGATGCCCCTGCTCCCAGGACAGATGTGGGGTGGGAGCAGCACTCTGTCTACAGGTGGGAGGACAGCCTGAGGTGCTGCTAAGGAACTCCTGTTGGCTCAGGGCTGGGCCGTGCCAAGCATGCAGCTATAATGAGGCATGGCTGAGCAGGGCTCAGGTGGCATGCCTACACCATGAACTTGACTCCAGTCCATCAGGGAAAACAGAGACCTTCCCTCAACCCTCCTTCCTCCTCCAATGCCTACTTTAGGAAAAAGAGGCCTATACCTATTGGCTCTATTTCCACACCACCCACTGATGCTGTAGCCTCTTGCCCCAGGCTTCTGATCCTGCCACTGAGACTTCCAGCTGGTTCTGCCTCCAGCCCCTTACTTTATGTAGACTCTCTCTGAGCAGCCTCCTCCATTCCTGTGGATTCAGTTCTCGTCACTGTGACAATGACTCCACAATGAACCTGGCTGACCTTC